ATCTCTTGAGTCATTGTCATCCTCTTCCTCGCTGGCTTGGAATTCATCCCCAATCGCTCTCCATCTCCTGCCTACCCTGTGCCTCTCTCCCTGAACCCCTGACAGTGTCCTTATTTCTATTTCATCTGTTTAATATGTGAATATATCATGCATGCTTTATAGGTGGTCTGGACCACATTTTGTGAAAATAAAAATACAACAAAAATAAAAGGTCACTCTGAGCAACTTGCCTGATGGGATACAAAAACACAACAAATGAAAAGAAACACACCGTGTCTTCATGCTCCATGTTATGCTAAATCTCAGTTATTCTTAGAGAATCTCTTGCTCCCTAGGCTTCTCCCATAAGAGAGTAAACTTTGACTCACAGCGTTTCAGGTTCCTCTACCCCTGCTTTCTGGGTCATGTGGAATGTCATTGTAACCTCGTTTCAATAGCCCATTGTGGCAGAGACGTGCCTATCTTCCTGTTGAAAAAGGCTTCTCAGCGGTTTTCTGTGCCTCACCTTCAACAACACACTTCCCCCTCTGCCGTCTGTGAGGACATTCTAGTGTTTCCTCACAGCAGAAGGGCGATGAGGCAATTGTAAGGTGAGTGGGTTTTTCAATGACATAATCGCATGCCTGGAGCATTAGAGGAGAATGTTCACAAATGCTCTTGCCTAATTCTCTACCTTCGATTCATGCTGATCGACCGATACGCAGCCCAGGCTCCCCAGAAGTTTATTGACCCAATCTTATGATAGACCTGCTTTCACAAGGGAAACGTCCGTCTGTTTCTGTGCTTCCTCTATCTGCAATTTGAATGCAAAGCAAACATAGGGGTGCTTCCTGTTGAACCGACTGTGTTGTTGCTACCATTACTGGGAAAGGCGACATCTGGAAGTACCTTAAGATCAAATCCATGTGGGAGCTTCTAACATTCCCCGCTTAACTTCTTAGGACCCAGAATATATAATGATTTTTTTTAATGCCTCTTTTCCAAATTTTGTCCTGCAGCCGCCCCATTTGCAAGTTACCAGTTTCTCCTAAAAGGATGTTTACTGTTGCTTATGAAAATGCCATGAGAGTGCAGGGCTGGTGTCACGGGTGAAGATTGTTAGGTGCTTGCCAAAGTCTGCACCCATGTGAGGACCACTCTCTAGAGCCTCCTAACCCTGCCTCCTCTTCAGCCTTTGGGATGCTGCCTGTTCATCCGCTGCAATATTGTGGATGCTGCCAGTTTCCCCACTGCAAGCATGCATGCATGGAATGACCGGAGTGAGAAGGAAGGCAATGACAAGCGCAGGGATGGACAACCCTGTCAATTTCATTTTCTCTCCGTTTCTCACTTTGTCTAGTCTTAAATTCAGTTCACCACTTTTAAAAAAAATAAATAAAGACCTCACAAGAATTCATCAGCATCCAAGTGCACATTTCTCCTAACAGACACATTTTGCCATGCAGCTTGCTGTAATATAATGCATTTCCACAAAGCGTGTTCTCCTTCATGGAGAGCACGTGTTGCGGTGGGGGCCGCCAGGACACTCCAAAGTTGGGGGCGGCCTAATTGATCGTTGGCCACTGATGCGATTGGGGCTTCCCTTGTTGTTGGGAAGAAGTTAATGTTGCCATTTGTTGATTGGCAGCCAGAAATGCTAAAACTCCTTGCACGAGGCTAGGGCTTCCTCTTTTCGACCGTGCATCGGATTGCCCACCCCCCCCCTAGAATTAGGGTTGTTCGCTTTGACCTTGCTATGCCTGTCATGGGGTCGTCTGCTCTTGGGGCAGGGGCCCGGTAGGAATTTTGTTCATCTGGCTGATTGGCTGGAGCCATTTGGTTTTTGCCTACTGCGTAGCAAATTGTCACAACTTGTAAGGTTGCGGTTAGGCATTGGTTTATGGTTTGGTTGGTTGAAGGGCAGTGGTTGAGTGCCTGCCCTTGGTAGGTTGAGTGCCTGCCCCTCTAATGCTGCTGCAAGGGATTCCGTTAAAGGAATTGGGGGCTAACTATTGCTTGTCCACTCTGTCAAGGGGGCTCGGGCCATAGCAATGAGCTCCTGGTTGCATTTGGGGAGGGCTGAGGGCAGGTTCCCTGCTTCGTCGCTACCCCCAAGTGTATTCCCCTATTCTGACTTTCGCATCGTGCGGAATGTCAGTCTGTCCCCCATGGTGGGGGCAGATAGTCGCAACCAATGCCTAAGCAACCACTCACAAATTTGTATTTTAATAAAGTTGTGGCCAAAATTATGCCAAAAATCTTAAACAAAAAATTCTGTGTGATGTGTGAGTTATTGGGGTGGCCCTGGGGACCTCGACACGCAAATATAGGCGCACTTTCCCCTAATATCCAGATTTCCGCGCACATCATTTGGTTGGAGAACTGCACTGCAAAACTAGGAGAAGTGCAAATTTGGCATGCTGGATCGCGTATTGTTTTGGGAAGTGCAAATCAGATAGTTTTGCACTGAACTGCAAACCAAATGAAATTTCTTCCTCATCCCTAGGCAAGAGCAAAGTCTTTCCTTGTGCTCTTCCTCTGGGAAGTTGTGTGCATTGAGCAGAGAGTGGGAGGGCAAGCCAAGGGCAGTTCTGTGGAGAGTAGATGGGCCCAACAGAGAGGAGACTCCGCTGAAGATACCTTGCCCAAGAGCCCCTAAAACCTGGAGCCTCCAAGATACAAGTTCACAGGTGCATATGTAAGAAAGCACCTTTGCACAGCATTCAAAAGAACAGCCCTGAATATGTTGAGCTGGTTTAATCCTGTGTCTCTTTCCCCCGCCCTCCGAGTTTGGATGGGATTAACATAACACACAGGGCAAATATGCAAAACTATTGCAGCAGTGCTTCTGAGTACAGTGGTACCTCGGGTTACAGACGCTTCAGGTTACAGACTCCACTAACCCAGAAATAGTACCTTGGGTGAAGAACTTTGCTTCAGGATGAGAACAGAAATAGTGCGGTGGCGGCGCAGCAGCAGGCCCCATTAGCTAAAGTGGTACCTCAGGTTAAGAACAGTTTCAGGTTAAGAACGGACCTCCAGAACGAATTACGGTAAGTTCTTAACCTGAGGTACCACTGTATTAGAAACGGGATGGAAATGTAATATTACATTTTTAAAAAACTGGCAATAAAAAATACATTGGGGGTGTTGCATCGCATGCTTCACTGGACAACCTTTTCCATAATAATGGTGCCACCCACAGATTTTACTGAAAAGAAAGTATTTAGAGGACAGCCCTCCCAGCAAGGTAATGAAGAGCTGCTCCTGAAAGAACACACAGCCCACGATTTTCTGGGCTGTAAAGATTGCCACTAGTATTTGAATGCTTGGTTTTAACTAACAAACCCCTTGCTAGTTTTATTTGCAGGCGGTAGGTGGCACCAGTGTTGTTTCTGTAAGGCCTCTGCATCCTGGCTTTTTTATATCCTCCATTAAGGGAATATTGCTGTTTATAGTAATGAATATTGGTTCTTTCGTTCAACTTTAGTCCAAAACACACACCACGAGCTCCTCATTCGGCACTGAAATGTATCATTTATTTTAGTGGGAACTATAGCAATTCTTAACGATGACATATATTTAGTCATCCAAACAGAATGAAATGTTTTCCTTCCTTTCCTTGCTCAGCGGGTCAAATTTTGTAATCTTATGACTACTCCTCAAATCTGTGGTAGTCGGTTGGTGTAGAAGTTGCTTTACAAGCCCTGTCTCATTATCACAACCGAGATCTCTCACAATCATTCTTACTGTGCTCAGGCCAAAAGAGACGTTTACCAGCAAACTGCACCTTCCCATTCCTGTTCTGCTCGCCGCCTTGACTGATGATCTACTTTCCACTATCTGTTGGAATTAGTTGGTTGGTTATGACAACGCAACAAGCTTTCAGCCCATTTCATAAAAGTAATCAATGGGTAGGTAAAGAGTGCAGAACCACCAATGCAAACATTCATCTTTTCATTTTCTACTGCAGGTCTCTTAGATATTCATATAGTCACCAGATGAACTGGGGACAGGCAATAATGGACACACAGTAAAGCTGCAAGGAAAAGCAACTGAGTCCCTTCAGGGAACAAGGCAGGGTACAAACAAACAAACAAACAGCTTTGGGATCCTATTCATTCTCTCAGGCTAATGGGTCATACTGATTCTACTCACAGCTTGATAGGTGGGGTGGCAAGGAATTTGCCCATGAAGGAGCTGGAACAACATCAAACACAGCTCTACCTGTTATGGTTTAATCTCTCTCCCCACCCTTGTAAAGCCCAGTAGTTTGCTGAAGTTGTAAGAACAGTGCACTAAACCGAATTATTCCCGGTCTGCTGCTGGAAATTAGTTAAGCCAGGCAGTGGGCAGAAGGTAAATTGGAACTACTGGCAGATTGCTGGATGATTTGCAGTTGATCAAGAAGAATTTCTCTTTCATAGCAACACAAAGCCCCCCTTTCCCTAAATTAGCCTGCCACATCACACATGTGGGTACTAGGTTCTGTTAATACTTTCTTGGGTGCAAACTCAATGGGAACTTACTTCTGAGTAAGATCTAGGATGGCATTAATCCCATGTAGAATGAACAGAGGGAAAGTAGGTCAGGGGGACAACAGGGGCAAAGAACAGGGGGTTTATTTACTTATTATTTCAAGTCTACCTTTTTCTCCAAGGACCTTGTTATGTACTGAAGTTCTCACCCTGGGCCAGCATGGGGATACTGTAGATAGTTATGCAAATGAAGGGTAGAAAAGTGACATTCAGTGATTGGATAGTTTTAGAAAATGGCAACAGTTACATTGTTCTGGAGCTCTATATAAGCAGGCTGACTGAGCTCCTCAGTTAGTTCTGTTCCAGCTTACAAAATAAAGAGCTGCTTTGGAGAAATCGCTGTGTCGTCTGCTATGTCAACCCACAACTTAACAGACCTCATGGTAGCGCACAGTCTTTCCCCATTTTAGTCCCAACAACAACCCTGTGAGGTAGGTTAGGCTGAGCGGTGGCAACTGAACCAAGGTCACCCCGTGAGCTTCATGGCGAAGCAGGGATTTGAACCCTGGTCTTTCAGGTTCTAGTCTGACACTCTAGCCACTACACCACGCTGCCTTATTGAACTTCTTTATACTCTGAGTTGTACCCACTGCACATAAACAAGTGCCAGCCCTCTAACTCCTTTAGACTGGAAATGCCAAGGATTGAACCTCAGGCCATCTGCCTACAAACCAGGGATGGACAAAACTATCAATTTTCATTTCTCTCGCTTTATAATTTTCCCAATCTTTAGTTCACATTTCCACACAAGTTTGTGACCCTCCCCCCCGTTCTCATCATTTTAGTGCAAAATTCTCCTCATATACACATTTTTGAATGCAATTTCACTCAATGTTCACATTTTTGCAAAGCAATTTTACCTTGCCTGATGTGTTTTGCCATTTTATTTCCACTAATAAATACACAATTACCCCTAGTGTATACATTTTTGAGGACGCTACTTGGCTAGAGAACTGTGCTGTGAAATCTGGAAAGGTGCAGATTTTGGAAGATGGCCGTTCCTCCTCCGTTCACGCATTGTGTCGGCAAGTAAAAATTGGGTAGAACTGAATCCCCACCCCGTACTACAAGCAAGACCTAAGGTCCAGCCACAGAGCAACTCTCACCTCCATTTCAGAACATGCAGTTTTTATCACTGGTGCATCTCCCCAAATCCCCCTGTGTGCTAATATTATCCTTACTGAGAAAACCCCTTGGCCCCAGCTACGGCCCAAGACTTCTGCACGGCACCCTGGGGGGTGGATCTATGTCTGTGGTGAAAGCAGGTGCCTGCCAGGCTTGCGAAGATGCTTCCTCCTCCTTTATTGCTCTATTGCTTTATTATCATTAACTACAGCCTCAGGGCCTTTTCCCTCAGGTCTGACCTGCCTGGCAAGTACTGCAAGTTAGGGCTCATATTCGGCCCTTCTTGAAGGAGACATTTCTTTCTTACTTTCTTCTGTTGGTTGACGACGAAGCAAAGAGGCAGCAGGTACCATAAGACAGGACAAACAGGACAAAGGCACCCCTTTTTTGGTCTATGTTCTCTAATACTCTTGGCTATTCTGAACCCATGTTGTCTGCCACACCCATGAGCCACAGAGTTTTCAGTACCCCCAAGCAGCTTATGGGACACAGGAGGGTGACTTAAGACTGAGTCATCCATTGATCTACTTAGCTTAGTTTTATCTATATAAACAAGCAGTGGCTCTCTAGGGATTCAGATCCAGCCCTACCTGCAGATAATAACAATAACAATAATTTTATCATGCATACCTCGCCCATCTGGCTGGGCTTCCCAAGCTACTCTGGGTGGCTTACAGCACATATAAACACATAATAAAACATCTAACATTAAAAACTTCCCGATACAGTGGTACCTCGGGTTACATACGCTTCAGGTTACAGACTCTGCTAACCCAGAAATAATACCTTGGGTTAAGAACTTTGCTTCAGGATGAGAACAGAAATCATGCTCCGGTGGCACGGCAGCAGCAGGAGGCCCCATTAGCTAAAGCGGTGCTTCAGGTTAAGAACAGTTTCAGGTTAAGAACGGACCTCTGGAATGAATTAAGTACTTAACCCGAGGTACCACTGTACAGGGCTGCCTTCAGATGTCTTCTAAAACTTGTGCAGATGTTTGGGATTGATCCTGAGATCTTCTGTATGCTCTACCACTGAACGAGGGCTTTCCTAGAAAAGCTGCCATCTTCTCACTGGCCCCATTTCTGTATCTTTCACACCTTATGCAGATACTGGCCAATGAAGCTTTCCCCACTGCATGACAAGAGAAGCTACAACACAGCTGCCACCTCCCCCCCCCTCCCGCAAGCCTCATTGTGTGACAATTTGGGTGCGCGGGTTGGGTTGTGTCGAGGAAGGACAGGTCTCCTGCACCTTTAATATTTACGCAGGAAAGGGAATATCAGCAGGTGCAGCTTTGTGGGGTTGAGTTGGCCGTGCTGCATGACAAGCGACACCTGCTGAAAACCCCTTCTGCATAATTGTTAAAGAAGCCCTGTCTTCTTTTTCATCTGGCCACCGGAATGGCAGTCAGAAATTTTAGCGAGAGCAGCTTTCCCCCCAGCATTGAGATGCAGGGATTTTAACCACGTTAATTGTCATGCTTTTTAGCTGGCTTGTTTTATTGTCTATTTTAATTAAGGGTGTTTTACTGCTCTGGTGGAATCATTGTGTATTTAATTATGTATGGATTTTACAATTGAACACATAGTTGTAAAGTGCCTCGAGGCCGTTTGGGCATATAAATGTAATATAAATTAAATAATAAGTATAATAAACAACTGATGCAATGCAACCTGGTTCTATATGCATGTTTGTTTGAAAAGCCATTCAACTGATTTCAGTAAGAATACTGTGCTATGCATGCAGACAATGTAGTTATCTCAAACCCAGTAGACTCCACCTGTAACCTCCATATTCATTGACTCATTTTCGTATGTGGAGGTTGCGGGTGGAGCCTGAAGCCATAACCATATTCCTCTCTGCACCCACGCATTTGGTCTGTTTGCACTGGTGGCTTGAACAAGGCATTATTCTTTTAGGAGTGCAGCATGAACATGCAACCAGCCGGTTAAATAATTCACCCAAGATCAGACTTCTTGCTGTGAATAGGCCTAGCCATGAGTAACTGTGTCAAGCATACAATTTAAGCTGAAGACTTCAACCAATTTAAATATGATTATTCTCAGATAATTGATTTGAGGAGTGCAGCCTCAGTGACAATATTTGCTTGTTAACATTTGTGTGGTCTTTACTTCTCTCTCTGTTTCAGTCTTCACCAGGAGGGGGAAAGAAGCCTAAGTACATAAAATACTGTATGATTTATTTCACTAGGAGGCTTGTGCGAGATGCCTCCTGCATGACTCCATAGCAATTAATTCAGTACTGCTTAAGCAGAACTCAGTTTGAATTAAAATGCATCTGTATTGTAATTGGAGTTTTTTGTTTTGTTGCTGTCAGCTGGACATGCATAATAGGATGGGCCCCTAATTTCCATTATCAGTCGCTTGCCGTCTTACCAGCGCAAGAGGAGGGACACCAAGCTACAAAATAAGCGCAGTGAGCCTTATAGTGCTGATAAACATACTGGCTTCTTCACCACCCATGACCTTTTGTCTAGTTTATGGCCAATGCTTTTTATCCACTGAACTTAGAGCAATTCAGTAAGATGACTGTGATTTATTATCTCCATTGTAAAGATTGCTAAACAGAGATGAAAGGCAATCTTGTTCCTCCTCTGACACATGGTATAACAATGGTAGAGGCAAGTGTTGAACAGAAGTCTTCCATTTTTAAAATCTGGTCTCTAATCCATTGGAATGATGTTGACTACCCTCTCCCTCCACTGGCCCTTGTGATCTATCTGGAGATCTAACTCTGCCTCCCTTAGCTCATAGCAATTACCCAGTAGGGCTCAATCCTGCAAGATGCTAGGTATAAGGAGAAAAGCATTTCTGTGTTTGCTTTAAGCATACAAGGACAGACAATGGTGCTGGAAATAAATTTGGATGAAAATCTCTGAGTTAGAAAAAGTATGGATTTTCTCTGTCATTAAAAAGCAGTAACACCTTATGAATCACTTTGACATTCCCAATGGAAGTTGGAATCTAAAATACTATATGTTCCACTATGCCAGGTTTGTACAATTTGTGACCCACCCAGAAGTCTTGCCACCTTTCACCAGTCTCTGGATGAACAAGATGGGGGCGCATTGTATGTATGAGAGCATTTCTGGGACTAGTTTGCACAAGCAAGCTCTCCATGCAATTCTTCTCATGTATAGGACAGAGCATCCAAAGTTCATTGTAGGGAAAGGTTTGCAGCCAAGCAGTCGAGGTCTCAGGAGGTCTCCAGGTTCAATCCCTGGCAACTCCAAGTGGGGTCAGGAGAGACCCATCTGAAACCTGAGAAAGTCACTGCCAATCAGTGTAGACAATACATAGTGAGATTGACCTGACTTACTTCAAGGCAGCTTCTTATATTCCTAGTGTAAACCAGGCTGGACACAAGTAGAGCACATGGCAACCATTTCTGTGATTTTGGCAGCTTAAGCTACAACAAAAAGCCAGCCTAATCAAAGGAATTGGAGCTGACTGCTGCAAAAAGTATTCATGTAGAGTTTGATAACACTAGGAAGGAGCATGCAGATTCAATAAGGAGTCGATGTACCTGCATGCATTGGCTTTAAGAAAGCCCATGGAAAATAATGTGTGCATATGTGTTTTGGTTTGTAGGTTATTGAGCAGCGGCCACCCAGGATAGCTTTGATTGAACATCCCTGCCCTGTAAAAGGCCCTCCAGATGTCTAAAGGAAGACCAGGGCCAATATTCTATACTTGTTTCTGTCTCAGAGTCTGAAAAATGACAAAGCAAAACAAATAGAGAAGTGTAGGTATTTCGTTTAAACATTCACAGCTTGGGCAAAATTATTTGTTATTCAGAGGCTGCAGTTGCAATGCAGATCTCTTTATGTCCACCTTTTGTGTGATTGGTTCTGTTCTCTGCTTTGGCTAAGGGCACCAATGTACAGGACAAAAAGAATGTAAATCCGAGACTGGCCAAATTTCTTAGCCATGTTTCTCTTCATAGGATGCCTTAAGCTAGAGAGGAGGGACCTAAGGCCCTCTGGATGATGCTGAAATTCAGCTCCCATTCTTCCTAACCATTGGTCATGCTGGCTGGGGCTGATGGGAATTCAAGTCCAACGCCATTTGACAGGCCACAGGTTTCCCATCGCAGCTTTAAGCTGCAGTCTCAAGGAAGTCCAAAACCTAGGGTGATTTTTGTTTTGTTTGGGAGTTGGGGTGTAATAGAAAGACTGTAATTAGAGTTGCATTGATATGAAGAGTCTTAACATTTACTTGGAATAGCTCCAACGGAAGTGGGTTGACTTCTGATTTAATGTATGTTTAAGGCTGGGTTGTAAGTTTCCCCTGTTTTGATCTATTGATCGAAACAATAAGTTTCGATCTATTGATCTCAGCCACTTGACAGCTAATTGTCATCTATCTATCTATCTATCTATCTACCTACCTACCTAATAGCAAATTGTT